ATACAATTTGCAAAACCTCTACAAAGTCAACTCCCCGGGCCCGCACCTCGGAACCCGACAAAATTTATAAAAATCGAACACCCATTCCGCTACGAGTTCACCCATACAAAAATTATCTATTTCTGATTCCATTTGGTCATTCAAATCATCATTTTACATTTTTGAAAGATTTCACAATTTTTCCCCAAATTTTCCTTTAGATTCTCATGAATTTGATATTAAATTTAAGATATAATCACAAAATATAGTTGGAAATTGATTAGAGACACTAACCCAATGTTTTGGAGAAGTTTGGGTCCTTGTAAAATCGCCCATGGAGGTTTAGGGCTTGTGAAAATTGAAAGATGGGTGAAAATCTCGTCAAAAACCTCAATTAACAGGTCTCAGATGCCGCATTTGCGACCCAGGGTTCGCATTTGCGAACCCCTCGCAATTACGAACAACCCAGGGCTGGCAAAAGTTGCATTTGCGACAAAAATCTCGCATTTGCGAACTGGGCATCGCAAATGCGATAAAAAGTTCGCATTTGCGACCACACCAGAACCAGCAATTTTTTCCTGACATAGAAATGAGCATAACTTCCCCATACGATGTCCAAATTCGATGATTCTTTTTTCTATGGCTCCGTAATTTCGATATGCATCTAATGGTTCAAACAAAACTGAATTTCGATCTCGTTTGCGCAATGTGGTATTATTTTTGCTTGAAGAAACGACGATGAAGCATCCAAAAACAAGCGCAACATAGCCTAAACCTATCCGAAACTCACCAAGCTCTCGGGGCTCCGAACCAAATATGCACGCAAGTCTAGAAACATCATACGAACTTTCTCGTGCAATGAAATCATCAAAATAACATCAAAAACTATGAATTTAAAATCAGAACTCATGATTTTCTAACTTTTCAACCGGACGTCCAAATCACGTCAAATAAATTCCAGTTTTCACCAAATTTTACAGATAGGACTTAAATATCATAACAAACTTGTACCGGGCTCCGAAACCAAAATACGGGCCCGATACCAACGAGTTCAAACATTAATTCATTTCTTTATTTCCTTCAAAAATCAGCACAACAATTTTCTTCAAATATTGTTTTCTAAGGCTAGGGACCTCAGAATTCAATTCCGGGCATACGTCCAAGTTCCATATTTTACCGCGGACCTCCCGGGATCGTCGGAACACAGATCCGGATCCGTTTACCAAAAATGTTAACCAAAGTCAACTAAAAACAAAATTTTAACTCTAAAAAATTACTATTTTTTTTATATTTTCACATAAAAGCTTTTCGGTTTCACGCCCGGACTGCGCACGCAAGTCGATTCACATAATATGAAGCTACTCGAGATCTCAAACTGCCGAGCTGGGCGCAATTACTCAAAACGACCAGTCGGGTCGTTACAGTTCCGGAGGCACCTTCCTGTCACACAGGACGCCAGACGCCAGCTTCCATTTTATCCGCCCACTCCTTTACGGTGCGTGACATCCTCGTCAATATCCCCATACCTCTGTATAACAGACCCGAAGTACTTGAAGCTCCCTTTCTTGCGGATGACTTGAGAGGCAAGCCTCACGTCCATGTCCGCTTCTCCCGGCACGACGCTGAACTTGTACTCCACGTATTCAGTCTTAGTCCTGCTCAACTTGAAACCTTTTGACTCAAGGATCCGTCTCCAAACCTCCAACCTCTCGTTAACAGCGCCTCGTGTCTCATCAATCAGAACTATATCATCAGCGAATAACATACACCATGGAACCTCCCCTTGAATATGGTATGTCAGTGCGTCCATCATCAGAGCAAATAAGAACGGGCTGAGCGTACATCCTTGGTGTAACCCCATAACAACCGGAAAACACTCCGAGTCGGCCCCTATTGTCCTAACCCGAGTCTTATCTCCAAGTAATACATATATAAATAAATATTTTTTCAATTTAATATGTAAAAAATTTTCATTGTGTGATAAATATTTATATGTACAATAGATATACATATTCTTTATCAGAAAATATGTTAAATATTTCTTAATTAATACATAATATCATAAAAATAATTGGTATCTTCCATATAAATAATATTATAACTTAAACCTGACTATTTTTTTACCTGACTAATATTGTAGCTTTTATCTTCCATATAACTACCAAAGAATCGTGAAGTTAAGAAAATAAAAAAAGTTCAATAATTAAGGAGTCAGCTATCAAGAAAATATGTAATAAGAAACGAAAAAACAACTAGCTGGAGGGAAATTGCAGAGGCACCGTTAGGAAGAAGTATAGTGGAAATGCTCTGCCTTTTCTATCTTTTTTGTTTTCCAGATGAATAAATATGTATTTCTTAGAGAGTGCATCTCTAGGCAAACAAATCACCCGACTGATGAATTTAGTTGAGAATGGTATGTTTCGACCTATTTTAGCTCATGAAATTCACCATGAGATCCTCCATGCATATAATAAAAGATGCCAGTAATAGAGCAAACCTATTTTACAAGAATGTGACGACATTGCATAAAAAAATAAGAAAAGTGCAAACCTGAGTATTATAACGATTAGGTGAAATAATACTAAAAGAAATAAAAAAATAATTAAAAGCCTTTTCTCTCTCAGCGCACGTTAGGTGACCTTGCTAACCTGTGCCTTCACCGGAAATGGGCGGAAGAGGACGAGCAAAGAGGAACACTAGTAAAACACCAGTAGTAGAAAGGAAACTTAGTGATATCATCTTGCGAGAACAAAGAAAACAAACGGCAAAAGCCAAAGAGAAGCTGCAAGCAGAGGAAGAGGAGAGTGATAGTGACTCAAATTGGCCAGATCTGGTGTTAAGGAGACAAATATATCACCAATTCAAATCGTCGATGCGAGCACTAGAAAGTCTAAACCCAATGGAACAGAGCAATGACCTACAGTGATCAATGAGCAGAATACTACACAACGCAAAGCATCTGAGAAAGCAGGAGGTAGAGGCAAATCCTGGGCAAGACTATTCCAGCAAAACAAATTAGCCGCAAAGGGGATGGACTTATCTTACATCCCTCCGGTGATACAAGATGGGGAAGTTGTAGTTCAATTGCTGGAAGAAGATATTGAGGAGGAAAATCAGAAATGGAATCGAGCAGTGATCTTATATGTGGTTGGAAATAATCCTACTATTGGGGAAATCGAACAATTCATAGCAAGCTAATGGAGCATGGTCAAAAAATCAAAGGTAATTTTCCATAATAATGGTTATTTTGTGATCCTATTGTCTAGTAGTGAAGAGCCAAAAGTTTTCTTTTGATGGACCATACACCATTAATAGCAGGCCTATTATCATAAGGCCATGGACGGCAACTTTTGATTTCAATGAGGAGATCCTGAAAATCATTCCTCTATGGGTCAAACTCCCTAATCTGCTTTTGAATTGTTGGAGTAAGCAGGATTTGAGTATAATTGGGAGTGGTTTACGCAAACCTCTATATGCAGATGCGTGTACTACAGTCATAGAGAGAATCATATATGCTAGAATCCTTATTGAAATGGATATTACCAGGCCTTTACCTCAGAAAATTAAACTACATGACCCCAAGGGTAAGGTATTGGAACAGATGGTGCACTATGATTGGAAGCCTCAGTATTGCCAAACTTGATGTCAGATGGTCACTCATGTAGAGATCAAAAGAAACAGAAGCTAGAGGGTGACTTTCAAAGGGGTGTTAATGTGGAACAGAAACAAGAATGGAGAGCAGTGAGGACACAAGACCCTGCAGTGGATAAAACTGATGCTCAAGGAAGATTCTTTGAGCAACTGGAGAATGCATCCAGTGATCAAGTACTTCAACAAGAGCCAATTTTGCAGTAGCAACTTGCTGGAGGAAAGTTATCCTCAAACAAAAATGTGGCAATTACTAAGGATAGTGAAGTTGATATTGAGAATGCTTTCAAGGCCCTAGTAGAAACAACACAAAAAATAGTGCAAATGTCTGAGACCCATAATGCTAGAGGGCTGCAGAGCAGGTTTGATAGAGGGGGTACCTTACAACAATCCAATTTATGCTGATGAATATTGTAACTTGGAATGTGAGGGGTTGAATAAATTATATAAACAAAAAAACTCAAAAAATTTTGTAAGGAGAATAAGGTAGTTCTAATAGCAATTATAGAAAATAGAGCCAAGAAGGAAAATACAGCAAAAATACTGAACAAGAGTTTAAACAATTGGCAGTGTGTAGATAGCTATGATGATGCACCAAGAGGCAGAATATGGATAGCATGGGATCAAGTGCAAGTGACCTTCTCATTGATAAGAACCCATGAACAATTCATATCGGGGCAAGTCAGTTTGAACCAAGTTTTAACTTCTGTGCAGTGTATGGCAAGCACACAGTTAAAGATAGAAAAATGCTATGGGAAGACATGAAGATGAAACTGAATGGTATGAATGGTCCGAGCCTGATAATGGGAGATTCCAACACCATTTTATCCAGTGAGGATAAAATACAAGGGAATCCAGTTCAAGGGAGTGAAGTTAGGATCTTCAAGAATTTTATTCTTGACACTGGACTTGAAGAACAATAGACCGTGGGAAGGAAATTCACATGGATAAATAATCATATTCATAGTAGAATTGATATAATCCTGGCGAACCCAGAATGGATGCAAAAATGGTCTCTTGCAAGGGGTTGTTATGAACCATGGCTTCTCTGATCACTGTCCAATATGTGTATGCTTTGATGACACTACTGAACAAGGAACTAGACTATTCAAATTCCTCAATTTGCTTGGCAAACCATGAGGATTTTACAAGGGTTCAACAATGCTGGAGACATAAAGGTAGAGACACAGCTATGACGAATGTATGAAGAAAATTAAAAATGTTGAAAGTCTATCTGAAAAGGGTGAATAAGCAAGAGTTTAGTGGAGTAGCAAACAAGATACATATGGCAAGGGATAAATTAAGCACCATCCAAAATCTGATGTATACCAGACTATGATTCAGAGGCAATTAAACAGGTAAGATTAGCAAAAATGGAATTGGAGAAATGGCTGATAGTTGAGGAGAGTGTATGGACGCAGAAATCAAGAGTGCAATGGCTGAAATTGGGAGACTCTAACACATCATATTTCTATGCATGTATGAAAAATAGACAAGCAAGGAACCACATTGGCAAGCTGACTAGTTGTGCAGGGCATCTACTGCATAGTGCAGATGAAGTTGCAAAGGAGATTCTGACCTTTTACAAAGTCCTGCTTGGGACAGCTGCAACTCAGTTGCTAGTTGTCCTACCAGATGTTATGCAAAATGGATACACCCTTAATCATAGACAACAACTGCAGCTCATCCATCTAGTCATAAGGGAGGAAATAAAGCAAGCTATTACGGATATTGATGATAACAACACACTAGGGTGTGATGGATACAATGCTCATTTATTCAAAAAGACATGGCATATCTTGGGAGATGAAGTCACTGATGCAGTAATGGATTTCTTTCAAACTGCTGCAATGTATAAAGCCATCAACCGCACAACCATCACTTTGATTCCAAAAGTGAAGAATCCAGCAAATATGAGTTTAAGCCAATATCTTGATATACAGTCCTCTACAAGCTAATTTCTAAAGTACTAACATTTAGATTGTAGAGTATTATGCATGATCTAATTGACAAATGTCAAACAACCTTTGTACCTGGGAGATTGGTTACAGATAACATCAATATGAGCAATGAGTTAGTTAAAGGGTATGGGAGGAAGAATCTTTCTCCAAGATGCATGTTGAAAATTGATATGCAAAAGGATTATGATTCTTTAGAATGGGTATACATTGAGCAAGTGATGAAGTTGCTGGGATTTCTTGAGATATTTGTCAAATGGATCCTAGACTATGTTTGTACAGTCTCTTATTCAGTCCTTATCAATGGCAAGCCAACTGAACCTTTTGAGGCAAAGAAAGGGCTGAGACAGGGGGATCCCCTATCCCCATTTCTATTTGTAACGGCTATAGATTACTTGAGTAGGTTATTGAAGCCTCTGAAGGAGAACAAGAGCTTCAAATTTCACCCTAAATAGGCAAAGGTCAACCTAGTTCAATTGGGATTTGCTGATGATCTATTGATATTTTCTAAAGGAGACATACAGTTTGTGAGTATACTCTACAACGAGTTCCAAACTTTTTCTGTAGCCTCAAGTTTAATAGCAAATCCAAACAAAAGCAATGTTTACTTTGGTGGAGTTAGTAGCCATATCCAGCAACAAATCATGGAGCTGCTAGGATGCTCCAAAGGTGACCTACCCTTTAGATATCTAGGAGTTCCTCTAAGTACAAAGAGGCTAACAGCAATACAATGTGAGCCACTGATTGATCGGATGCCAGGAAGAATTTAGAACTGGACCACTAAGTATCTATCTTATGCAGGACGAGCTATGCTAGTGAAGAGTGTCCTTTTTGCTATTCAAACCTTCTAGGCTCAGATTTTCATATTACCAAAGAAAATCATACAGTTCATAGAGGCTATGTGTAGAAGATTTCTGTAGACAGGCGTTGCTGAACCTACCAAAAATGCACTAATTGCTTGGGAAAAGCTCTGTGCTCCTAAGGTAGTAGGGGGCCTTAACTTTATAAATGTGGAGATGTGGAATAAAACAACAATATATAAGCTTTTATCAAATATCTGCACAAAGAAGGAGAAATTATAGGTGATATGGGTACACTCATACTACATAAAAGACAAAACTATATGGAACACCGAACCAAAGAGTGCTTCCTAGATTGTGCAGAAGACATCCAAGGCTAAGCATTACTTTGAGACAGTTGGATACACTAAGAAGATGTTCACCAAAAGGAGAGCTTCTCAATTAGACAAATCTACAAAGATATGCAATGCGACTTCCATAAGGTGACATGGAGGAAGCTAGTATGCAACAATCGGGGAATGCCTAAGTGGATTTTCATCTTGAGACTAGCATTGCTAAATAGGCTATCTACAAAAGAAAGGTTAGCCAAATGAGGCATCATTCCAGATCAGATATGCTCCGTATGTGAAAAGGAGAATGAAACAGTGCAATATCTCTTCTTTGAGTGTGAAGTCACTGGAAGTATATGGTAACAATTATTGTACTGGCAACGAATACATAGGTTGAAGAAAACTTGGCAAGAAGAGATCCAATGGATAGAGAAATTTGGTAAAGGCAAGAGTGGAGGGACTGCAATATAGAGAATGACTTTTGCAGCAACTGTCTTTCATGTTTGGCAAGAAAGGAACTATGCCATTTTCCAGAAGAAGAAGAGGTCAGGCAAAGATATAACACGACTATTCATTCAGGAAATTCATGTGAGGGCTAGTTTGTTCCCTAGGCTAGTGAGAGCAATGGAACAGTTGAATTGGTATCCAGAACTGGGCTAGGTAGAACGAGATGAATGTGGTAGAAAAGTAGAGAGAATTAGGTAACTGCAAGTTGGGGCATCATGTCTAGTTGGAGTTATGCTAAGCAAACATACTGTTATGTGTTGATTGTACATAATTATATTTGATAAATAAAATCTTTTACTTACAAAAAAAATGATTTGCTGGTAATGTAACTAAAAGAGATCTTGGGCCATCCTTCTTGGTTCTAGACGTAAAAATTGCACGGGGCGCCCTATTTGGGCGCCCCCTTTTAACCTGTACCCGCTTTGTCTTTCTGTTTGCACCCATACCCACTTTTTTATTAAAAGCCATTTGAAAAGACTATTTTACCCTTTTTTGTTAAAAGACTACTTTCTCTCCAAGTATACGCTAGTGCTCTACTGTTTCTCTCTCCCATTATTCGCGTTTTTCGATTTGCTCTTCTCAGAAATTAAACGGTTTTCGTCGTTCTTTCGAATTTTCAACTGCTAGTCGTCGTTGTTCCCATATTACGATTTAATCACAGGTACATTGCATTAACTTTCTGGGTTTTGTTTTATGATTTAATTTCTGGTTTTGGGTTTTGATATTCATGTATTTATGATAGGGTTTAGTTTGATAGGTTGTTCATGCTGTTAATGTAATTTCTATAAATTCTTCTGTGATTTCGACGTTCAAATTTTTAAAAACTTTTCAGAGTTAAACAGATGATAATGATACTTTAGGATAGGAGCTGAAGTTTTTTTCATGTTTTGGCATTATTTTTGGATTTGAATTTGTGTTTTGTTTTTTTGGCTGAATGTTTTGTGCTTGCCGAAGTTTTTAGTGCAATATGATTTTTTAATTTAGCCAGTGTATGTGGAAAACTTCAGCCTCCTGCTGAAGTTTTTGAGTAATAACAAAAAAACTTCAGCTGCTTGGCCGAAGTTTTTTTAGTGCAATATCAATTTTTAATTTAACCAGTGTAGGAGGAAAACTTCAGGCTCCTTCTGAAGTTTTTAAGTAATAAATAAAAAACTTCAGCTGTTAGGCCAAAGTTTTTTTAGTGCAATATGATTTTTTTAATTTAGCCAGTGTATGTGGAAAACTTCAGCCTCCTGCTGAAGTTTTTGAGTAATAACAAAAAAACTTCAGCTGCTTGGCCGAAGTTTTTTTAGTGCAATATTATTTTTTTAATTTAGCCAGTGTATGTGGAAAACTTCAGGCTCCTTCTGAAGTTTTTAAGTAATAAACAAAAAACTTCAGCTGTTAGGCTGAAGTTTTTTTAGTGCAATATGATTTTTTTTAATTTAGCCAGTGTATGTGGAAAACTTCAGCCTCCTGCTGAAGTTTTTGAGTAATAACAAAAAAACTTCAGCTGCTTGGCCGAAGTTTTTTTAGTGCAATATCAATTTTTAATTTAACCAGTGTAGGAGGAAAACTTCAAGCTCCTTCTGAAGTTTTTAAGTAATAAGTAAAAAACTTCAGCTGCTAGGCCGAAGTTTTTTTAGTGCAATATGATTTTTTTAATTTAGCCAGTGTATGTGGAAAACTTCAGCCTCCTGCTGAAGTTTTTGAGTAATAACAAAAAAACTTCAGCTGCTTGGCCGAAGTTTTTTTAGTGCAATATCATTTTTTAATTTAGCCAGGCTCCTTCTGAAGTTTTATGTAATAAATTAAAACCTTCAGCTGAAGTTTTTATTTTATACCTGTCGAACTTAAGCCTTCTTAGGTGTTGAAGTTTTAAATGATCTTTTTGATAATGTCCTGATGTTATTATTTGTATCTTTTACTTTTTTTTTGACAGATGGCTCCTAAAGCACCTAAAGATCCTAAAGTAGCTAAAGAAGGCAAAGCACCTAAAAAACCTAGACTACCTGTAGTAGTCCCGGGTCCTTATGTCCCTCAGCCTCTACCTACAAAACCAGGACAAAGATATTTTGAGTTTACAGAATGGTTTAACTCTAAGGGTTACTGGAAGGGGAACCATGATTTGAAGAGTTTAATTGCATCTTTCTTGACTCCTGCACAACAGGCTAAGCTTAGTAATGGTCCATTTAAACACATTATCGCTATGGAGAATATCAAATGCAGCATGAAGTTGGTTCATTGTCTGTGTCTTTCTCGAATATTCACGAATGATCGAGACTCTATTAGTTTCAAGATATTTGGGCATGATGTTTCCTTCACCCTTGAAGACTTTCACATTATGTGTGGTTTGTTGATAACAGCACATAATATTGAAAAAGCATTTAATCGAAAGAGCACTGTTCTAAACCGGTATTTTGGTAAGTCCAAGGGTGTGTATCTGAAGGATATTCGAGGTTTTATGACTCGCAATGCAATTCCAAAGAATGTTGTGAATTATCCACACGTATGCGAGAATGATGAAGATGCAGTTACGCTTGTGGAAATTCTTATTTTAGAGTCTATTTTGTTTGGGAAAAATAACGATTCATGTGTGAATGAGGAGTATGCATCTATCGTTGAGGAAGAGAAGGCTTGTGTTGAATATCCCTGGGGTAATGTGGCTTATGAGAAGCTCATTTATTCATTGAAACATGTATTGGACAAGCAGAACAAACATCACGCAACTGAGTATAAACTTACTGTATTTCCATATCCGTTATGTGTTTGGTTCTATGAGCGCTTCCCAGATGTTCGGATGAGGTATGTAGCAGAGGATGAGTACCTTGATATGCCTCAGATCCCCAGGATGTTACGTTATGTATGTGTGGGAGAGCCTAAATTTCCTGAACTTTATTATATGTTCAAAACTCATGAAGTAAGTTACTTTTTATTTTGTAATAATATGCTGATGTATTAGTTTTTTTCTTCTCATAATATACTTTTTTGTATTAAACAGAGATATCGCGACTTTAGGGTATTGGATATAATTCCTGCAGAAGAGGAATTGAATTCAATGCCTTTAATTAGGAAATTGCCGTGCAGTAGGATTCGTTCAAATGTAGATAATGCAGTTCCTTCAACTGGTAAATCACCACTTACTCTGAGTCGACCAAACGAATTGAATCGAAATCCTGTCATTGGTAAATCACCACCTACAAAGAGTCGATAAAAAGAAGTGAATCAAACTCATGACATTGGTGAATTACCACGTAGTTGGAATCAACCAAAAGAACTGAATCAAACTCCTTTTATTGGCGAAGCATCTCGTACCAAGAGTCGTTCTACTCCATCTACATCTGACTTTGATGAAGATGAATTATTTGATAAAATATGCTATGTA